AAATTTAACATAAAAGAGAATAGAAAAATTCTATAATATTTCTATAAATATTTAAGTTAATAAACAATATATTTAAATAATTAAAACTTACCTGGTACGATCAGCTTGGTATCGTTTATTTCTAACATCAGAAGGATCTACAATAATTCTATCTATTTCAGCTTTGACTTTGTTGCAATTGATTGATGTGGCAACGAAGAATATTATGTTGATTATTAATTGAAGTGTAATGGGTCCTATGAAGAACACAATTTCACCATGAAGATTCCTTCCATCTGTGTAACAAACAAAAATTTCTTTTTTTTTATTATATTATATTATATTATATTTTGTATAATATATCTATCGAAAAAATTTATTCGAAAAAGAAAAAGAATAATAATAATAATTAAAAAAAATATATTAAACAAAATGATTCTTTCAATGCATTAAAAATAATATAATTATATATATTTTTTTTTATTTATATTATGAAGATATTAATTAATTATTGTTATAGCATTAATATAAATTAAATATTATTATTATTATTATTATTAATATTAATAATATAACTTACGTGTAAACCAACAGTTCCCCAGACCAATGGAAGGCGTCAAATAATTCGGCAAAAATTTGACATGATCTCCGACAATGACTATGACGGTAATGAAACATGCAAAACCCCAGGCATACAAACAATACAATAAAAATCTTTTCCAAGATCTTCTTCTTCTCGTAGATGTGCTACCACGTGAACCCCTAAAAAAAAAAAAAGAAATAAACATAATAAACGATATACAATCAAAATTAATAACAATTTTTTTATAAGGGGAAATAAATTAAAAAAAAAAAAAAAACAAAATGGCGAACACTGATACATGATCGATGAATTTGATTTTAATTTCGAATAGATAAAAAAATTCTCATTTGTTAATAGATTATTCTACGAATTATTAAACAAGACATCATTGTTTATTATTTCATTCAACAAAATATTCCCCCTTTCCCACCCACCCGTTTCTCTCGATAGAAAATTTTCCAATTACAAATGTATCCAATTGAATTTTCAAATAATCAAATTAAATTAACCTATTAGAAAATTGGGATGATCCAAATTATCGGCTAACCAAATATATGTTTACGCGGTAAGAAACTTTCAGAACATTCCGAATGGAGAAGTTGTGCATGCGGTAACAAGTTTAACCAAAATGCCAAATAATTCGAAACTCAGTTTACAGAAGAGATAATCTTTGATACTATACTTCGATTGTTCCTAATTTCTATCTAAAATGATTCATTATTTCGAAGATTTTAGGTTTATGACAATAAACCAAAATAATATGACATACGATATAATATATTATATGTTTGTATTTGTTTGTGTGTGTATAAGAAATAAATTATAAAATTCAACAAAATTCGCGATCGCTTTTATAAAACTAATATTAAATGTTTAAACATTAAACATTGAAAATGAAAACGTGGGACGATCGTCGTCAGCTTGGATGATGCTATTTTCTTCTTACATTTACAAATCTTCCCGTTTAGAATAGCATCTTGAAAACATAAACATTCACGGAGATGCGTGTACGTGTTTTTGTGTGTATTTATGTATGTGTGCGTGTGTGTGTGTGTGTATGTATATGAAATGACGAGAGACAACGCACGTCCTCTTCCGTTCATGGTGGGTGGTGGGGGTCTTTTTGATTCGTTCAGAAATTTCCAAGAGTATTCTCTCTCTCTCTCTCTCTCTCTCTCTTTTTCGTTAGTATAATAATTCGATAAAGAAAATCATTTTATTGGAATAATTTTTTTGCTTTTTTTTTTTGTTTACAATTTATCTTCATTTTTCGTCGTATTTTACTTAAATATTAAATTTAATAAACAATAATTATAGGCATTATTATATTTTGTTATTAATTGTATCGTAAATATAATGATAATTCAATGTTTCGTTTTCTTTTTTATAATTGAAAAGTATAATGATCAAAAAATGTAATATATATATATATATA